CATCCAACATCTATCTATGCCATCCATCCATCCATCCATCCATCCATTAGTCTGTCTGCCTGCCCGTACTCCAATTTGTTTGAGGCACCCCAGCCCCACCCCCCACAAATCCCAGTCCCCAGACCTAACCCGCTGAGACCCGGCACCTGGGTGCTTTCATCATGGAAGCCCTCCAAGAAGCTCTCCAGCAGCTCATCCGCATTGTCGATGCGCTCGGCATATTCTCCCACGATCCAGATCATGGCGGCCCTGGCTTCCGGTTCGTCGAGGGAGTCCAGGTTCTCACACAAGGTAGCGATCACGCTTTCGTACCTGCAAAGAGGGGGAAGACCATAAGCATTCTCTGAGGCCCCCAACCAAGATCCCTAACAATCCCATGAAATAAATGCAAACAAGCAAACATTCACACCAGAAGCAAATCTGCTCCTATTAAAACCTGCCCAAATAAAATTGGCTACAGGAGATCACCGGTTATCGACAAACTCAGACCTGAAACCTTTCTCTTAGGAATTATAAAATACCAAATCTGCCCCCCGCCCCCCCAAAGTAAAATATTTAATAATACATATTTTAACAGCTGCCAGAATAGCTTTTGCAACAAGTGTGGAAAACTTCCAGTAACCCTAGTGAAAAATTAGCACAACAAAAAAATAATGGAAAGCGCTGAAATGAATATGCTTACGTTGAAATTGAAAAAAAGACTCTGAATATTTTTTAATTTGGCACAAATGGTACGATTGGATAACAAACAGAAATAAGAAATAAAACGTGAAAATGAATCTGTAAGAGACCTTAAAAGAATAAATGATAGATATGTAGAATATATAAGAATAATAATTATGGATAAAGATATTAATCAGGGTTTGACAAATGTAAATGCAACGTGTTAAGGTTTATAAGGCAGGAATTTGTACAGATGTCAAAAATGCTGTTGAAATTATGATGGTTTGAGTTGTAATAATGGAAATACAAATATATATATTTTTTAAAAAGTGCCTTTAAAAATAAAGCCTGCTTTTCAAGCCTTAAAAAAATAAAAACAAAAATCCTCCTACTTGTTTGGGTACTTGCGGAAAATGTCCTTGATAACCACAATCGCTTCCTGCACCACGTAGTTGACCTTGGTCTGGATAAGATCCAGCAACGTGCTCACACAGCGCTCGGCAGATTGCTGAAAAAGGGAAAAAGAGGAAAGGAAAAGAAAAAAAAGAAGAAAAAAAAACAGCCTGGGTCAGCCAAGAAGTTGGCCGAGGCGCCGATCGTCAACGGGAAGAGGAAAGCGAGGGAAAACCCGTGCTATCCTGCCGCGAGAATTTTGCTGGGGATGTCGGGTTTCGCGGTAGGGGGGATGCCAGGAGTTAATACGGTTGTGACGGGGTTACTTTCTCTATGCTTCCCAGGGTCACTGGTGTGAGGTGGGTGGCTCTATAACTGGGAGGGAGGGAGGGAAGTTGGCGGGGAGGAGGAAGGGAAGGGAAGGGAAGGGAAGGGAAGGGAAGGGAAGGGAAGGGAAGGAAGGAAGGAAGGAAGGAAGGAAGGAAGGAAGGAAGGAAGGAAGGG